TCGCCCCTCCAGGGCGAGGGTGGCTGGAGGAGGATTTGGGACGGCAGAGCCATCGCTTTGCAGAGATGCCATGGCTGGGAAGGACCGCGCTGAGGCTGGGGCTGGATGCGGCCTCTGGGCTCCAGCCCAGCCGCCTGCACAAGCTGCACAGCTGCGCCGGACCCTGGGACAGCCACTGCTGGATGCGGCCTCTGGCTGTGGGTGTTGGAGGCTCTGGGCTGGAAAATTTCGGGGGGCTCAGCCATCTGCAACGTGCCTCTCGCAGCCCCTGCTCCCTCCGGGGCATGGCAGATGCCAGATCCATGCAGGGGGCACCGTGCCCCCTTCTCTGGACCATCCCACCTTCCCACACACCCGCCTGTGCCAAACCTTGCTGCCCCACAAATGCCAGGCTCTGAGCTCAACCCTGCACCCCAAAACCCACTCCCAGGGTGCGTGCCCACGCAGCTCAACACTCCCCCAGAATGAACAACGGGGACCTTGTGACCAAGTCCCCCCATCCCCCTCGCCGTGTCCCTGGCTCCCTTGGCCGCCACTGACACAGCTACCATGGGACCGGGACCGGCACGACTCTGGGGCTCGGTCCTGCCTGTCCGTGGGGCGGGGGGGGATTCACACCCCAGGACCCCCGGGCCCTGCCAGCTGCCAGCCCCCCAGGTACCAACACCGCATTGCCACAGCATCCTCGGCACAGCGCCTCGGAGCTCGCTGCGAAAATCACGGCTGAAGTAGAGGAGCCTTCCCACGGCCACGTAGGGACGGGGCAGAAAGCACCCATGTCCCCAAGGACCCCCGTGGGCAGCGGGAGCTCGCTGCGAAAATCACGGCTGAAGTAGAGGAGCCTTCCCACGGCCACGTAGGGACGGGGCAGAAAGCACCCATGTCCCCAAGGACCCCCGTGGGCAGCGCCAGCTGTCAGGCTGCTCCGGCCCCAGTGAGCCCCACCATACCGGGGCCACCGTCACCAATCCTGCTCATGCAGCCCCCCGGAGCGAGCAGCAGATCCCCAGAGCCTGGGGGATGCTGGACCGACTCCGGCCAGCGCTGCCCTGCCACT